AAAAAATAAAAAAAGTCAAATGGTTTATATCAGGTCACTATCGCTCTGATGAAGGATCCCTGTGCGGACCCGAAACGTTAGCACCGTATGACAGTATGTGACATTGGGTATTGAATAAACATATCAATACTTTAAAAACCCTTCAAGTGTGTGCCTGGGAATTACTTTTATAGGCTGTCAGAACCTGGCAGAGCATCTCTCCCTCTCCTCACCGCTCGGCCTTAGTTCTGTGACAGTGGGGGGAGGGGAGGGGGGTCTGCTGCCTCTCTGCCAACAGAGCCTGATTAGAGGACTGTGTCTGCCTGATCCAGCCAGCCTGGATCGCATACAGAGGCGATCCGGGCTGGCTGGACCAGGTAGACGCGGAGGCGGCCCTCTAACCAGGCATGTTAGAGGGCCCCCTGGAGCCACTCGAACAACCCCTTGCGGAGCAGCGGCCACGCCGATCACAGAGTCGCATCGGATGCGTCGGGCCGGCCGGATGCAGGTGGCAGCGGAGGTTGAGGGGCCATTCGTGACGGCATCGCAGAGGCCCGGGGGGTAATTGTTACCCTGCCCCCCGGCCCAGTCCGCCCCTGAGATGGGGAGAGCAGCAGGGATCCAGAGAAGCACCACAGGCGGGAGGAGAGGCCATCACGATCTACCACTGATCGCTACGCGATCGACTGGTAGATCGCGATTGACCTTATGGGCACCCCTGGTTTATATAGTTCATTTGGCAAAACAGTTGTTTTTCCCTCTGGCATAAAGCCCATCTCTGGGCAAACCAAAAAAATACCCTTGCAGTGGGACTACCCCCGTGCTGCAAGTGTTAAGTACTTATTTATGCCTAGGGGACAGTAAAAAGCTACTTTATTTTACCTGATCCCTTCTCCTGCTGGCGCCACCTGGGCTGCTAGACTGGTCCCCACAGCTTCTCCCACTCGCTCTGGTGGTCTAAGTACATCATGTCTAATGCTGGTTCCATAGACACCAAGGGACATTTCACCAGCTGGAGTGAAAAGAGGTGAGCGCCGGTTGCTAGGGCAGCGGGGATCAGGTAAGTAAAGGTGCTTTATGCTGTGTACTCCGTGCCAGGAGCCATCATAATTTGTATATAATGCTGCCCCCTCTCATACTGATGCCCTATGCTATGGCCCGCAAGTTTCCTATGTCATTGCAATGCACATGATATCATCTAGTTAGAATTAGTTATGGGTTTCCAGGTGCTTTTTGCAAACTGAATACGTAAATAAAATTGAAAAGCAAAGTAAAAATATTTGCAAGTAGACCTGAAGTTAGAAGTTATTTTCTAGACAAAAAGAGGCATGAACTTTTCTTAACTGGGCCTGTCTTCAAAGGTAATCTGTCACTGAAAAGCAAATCAGTTAATAAAAATGTGCAGCAAACTTCCTGCATGTTCTGGTACAACCTGCTCTCTTTGGTGCACTGAAACCTCCCTAATTTAGGTTTGGAGGGTTAGTTGGTGGACACAAACTCAACCTTCCCTTTTGTCATCAGAGAGAAAGCACAGGTATTTGATTGTGCTTGAACCTGGAGAGTTTGTGCTTATAAAAGAGCTATAAAAAGAAGTTATTTAAAAGAGCCATTCTTCCATTGAAGAAACTTTGGGAGTCAAAAATCTGATAGTTACCGATATTATAGTTAACAATTCTCAGGTATAGTCCTTCATACCCCCAATAAGATAGAGTATCATATACCCCTGACTCTCCCTCACTTGGAAAAACTGTCTGCTATTTGGAAACAAATCTTTATGTTCCTCTTTCCTCCTCAGTTGTCTCTCTTTTTGGTCTGATGCACAAATATCTATGAAAATGTACTATTAAACTACCAAACATTTTATTCTGCACTAAAATCTACGTCCTGTGTCATAATTATCTTTTTTGCTATTTGTAAAAGCCAATATATATACTAACAGTAAAAAAAAAAAAAACTGGGTTTAAGCAATCATTGTAGGCTATACATTCTTAGTGGTCCACATAACTGGAAAGGCGGCAGCAATGCTTCCATTACCTAAGTACATTGTTCTGGATGGGAAGTATGGAAAACTAAAGCAACCCTATAGAACTCTAAATAGAGTTCTCATTTATGTACAATTCACAAAAAGCAGAAAAGAGAATGCTGTGAACTGATAAGAAAACTTTTAAGAGACCCTGTCCCAGCCATTCATTTCAACAACAATCTTCCTATGATTTAGTAATTAAACATATTTTAGGTATGTTATTTAGCTATAAAAGCCTACCTTATATAGAAATTCAAAAACCCAGAGACTTCTACTGTGCACCGCCACCGTGGATGTGATGTGAGCAGACTCAGAGCTGTCGCTCAACTGACCCTTTATAGTCAGCTACATAAATAGTTATATTGGGAGATGAGAGGAGGGTTGTGCTAAGAAACTGACTCGTCTAAAGTAGTCAAATTGGTCAGTCAGTTAATTTGTAGTCAATTAGTTCAGACACATAGCAAGCAAATAAAAAATTGTTTATGGAAAGAAAGATGCAACAATTTAGAACACTTGATTTTGTTTGTGCTTCCATCTGCAATTTTGTAAGTAGATGACAGGTTCTCTTTAAATTAATCAGCATATCAAACAAAGAAAAGTGTGAGAGAGAAAGGGCGGAAGAATGATTTAGCTAAGTATATGGCCAGGTGGTGAAGAATACCCGTGTACTCCTGGCACCTTGCACAGCCACTTTGCCGTTTCATCAGGGAAGTGGATTGCGAGGATTTCAGTCAAAACCAAACAGAAGGAAAGTTTGCAGAATCTCTCTCTTTATGCCACATCACACACTGCATGATGAAGGCTCTTCTGCCATCAGGATGCTCCCTGAGGTGCCTGGACTTTGAAAAAACAAGAGCTTAGAAAAGAATGTAGATGGATTGGCTTTCTGCATATTAGAAATACATTTGGGCTGCAGTACAGAGCCTACTACTATATTTAGTTCACTTTACCTGTAAATCTACAGGGGGGGGGGGGGCACCTCTGCAGGGAGTGTGTGCA